ACATTTGAACCATTTAAAGGATTAATTTTTTTTTTTTAATTTAAAAAGATGTAGCATTCAAATCCGAATATGTCTTGTTACCAACTGGGCCCTTGTTCACCTGAGCACACGGCCTTCCATGAATGATTACTCGTGCAATGTCTCAATCGTCAACTTTAGGATGACCTAACAGAAACACGGAATGGGATTACAGGGAGCCTAGAGGAGCTGTCCGTTCTGCTCACGCAATGTTACAGTGCCACTTTGTGGAGTATCGTGAAATTTAGGGAAGCTTTCACTCGCCAGCCAGTTTTTGGAAAAAGTATGTAATTTATGTACAGGCATGTATAATACGTGCACACCTAAACATGTAAGCATTTATACTTAAGCAAACAACATATATTCTCATCTCTCTCTTTTTTTAAATTATTAACATATAATGTATTATTTGCCCAAGGGGTACAGCTCTGTGAATTATCAAGCTTACACAATTCACAGCACTCACCATAATACATACCCTTCCCAATGTCCATAACCCAGCCACCCTATCCCTACTCCCCCACCCCAGCAACCCTCAGTTTATTTTCAGGTCTCTTTAATTGTATCAACTAACACATGTACCTACTTACATTATCTCATGAAAATCCCTAATCTTAGCCTATAATTTTTATCTGACATTTATTTTAGGCTTTTTAAGTCTCAAGGAAATAAAGCAAAAAGTTATGGTGAAACACATAATTCAGTCACTAATAAAGCAATATAATAAGTAAAATACATTTGTATTGCCTCAAAAAGAAAATAAACAGTTTAGTTCTTTGACACTACAGTAATTTCAGAGCAATTAACAACAACAGCAACAAAAAAGTAATTAAGAATCAGATAGCTGCATTTTAGCAGTCAAAGTTCCATGACTAATGCAACATTCACATTAACCTTATAGTTTTAAAATTTTAACATCAATGTTGCCAAATTCTCAGTATCAATCCTTTTCAATCTATGTTGAGTGTAAAGGAAAGTGAACCTTCCATAGCAGAAGACACTTTCTTGGGACCCAGGAGAACAGAAAGGACATCTCTCTAGTAGATGTGCAGGTACAATGTAAGAATCACTTGGGAGAAACAATCAAAAGATGGCAAAATGCCCTCCAGTACCGTGGCATGTTTCTTAGCAACACAAAAAACAACTCTCTGCTAACAAACTCTGTCAAGCGACAAGTGTTTACCGAGCATAATTCAGATACTGAATTCCAAGTAAATCTAGCGATATTTACATTCCTAATAATATGAAACTGTGTAGCTTTTTTTATATTTAATACCCAAATTTTGTACAAGAATGATTTCTTAAGAAAAGCTGCTTCAAACATGGAAAGTGTAGATATAAATGAACCAGGGCATTCTTTTCACATGATCCCTGATTTCCAGGGAACACATATTTAATTTTTCTTTAAAGCATACATCTTGCCCATAATATACAGGCAAACTGATAAATGCAGGCATCAGAACGTATTACTCGTTGTCAGTATCTGAATGGCAGGTCACCAAGAGAAGAAACTGGAGACTCTCAGAAGAAATTCTCCACAAACAGCGATATCTTCATGTCACCATTTGTTCTGAAAAAAAAAAATCTGTTCCCACACTCCATTTCAGCAGAAGGGTGCCACCCCATGGCCTCCGACTATAACAACGTTTCTTTGCGGCCTTTTCTGCAAAGGAGCAGCTATGGCTCCATCTTTGCGGCCTTTTCTGCAAAGGAGCAGCTATGGCTCCATTCACTGACATTAGAACTCATTTGGTAAAAGGGTGAAATGAACACCCTAGTTCTTGAATTGTATTAGTAGCACGATGATATTAGATGGATTTTTCGAAGTGGTAGTTTGTGATTTCTCTATTTCCTTTCATCAGTCACACAGCTTGAAAATAAGTTAGTTTTACAATGCTATACAGGTATAAAGCTACTGTGCTTTCAACAGTATGTTTTTTAATAGGGAAATGAAACTGTTTTAATTGTGAATAAGTCTTTATTTTCTATCACAAATTCTAGAGATTCTTCAAGTGGTTCATATAACTCATCACCCAAGACTTGTTAAAGAAAGTAGAAAGTATATTTCCACGTAGAAGCATTTGGGGAACACACTGCAGACAATTTGGTTAATCCCTCAAGTAAAACATCTTAAGTTGTTAAATTTATATGTTATGCTTTCTAATAACTAAAAAAGGAATAGCAATTGATTAGAATACTCAAATTAGTACTTTCTGAATTCTGTCATTATAATAGTGTGACATTTGAAAACTTTGACTTAGTTTTCACCTTACTTGATCATATCTAGGATATGTACGCAGGCCAGTCTGTGACAGAGATCACCTTGTCAGTAGAGGAATCTTCTATTTTTATATAGATTGTGCTACCACTATAAATATCCATGTCAAAAAGATTAAATAAAACATTCCTATCCAAAATGATAGACCACTCTAATAGGCTAAAGACTAAATTATAAATTGTTTTGTGTGTGATGTTTATTATTGTTTTGTTTGCTCTTGTAATTTAATTTTTAAAAGATTATTTATTTATTGGGGCGCCTGGGTGGCTCAGTGGTTTAAAGCCTCTGCCTTCGGCTCAGGTCATGATCTCAGGGTCCTGGGATCGAGCCCTGCGTCGGGCTCTCTGCTCAGCGGGGAGCCTGCTTCCCTTCCTCTCTCTTTCTCTGCCTGCCTCTCTGCCTACTTGTAATCTCTGTCAAATAAATTAAAAAAAAAAAAAATCTTAAAAAAAAAATAAAAAAATAAAAGATTATTTATTTATTTATTTAAAAGAGAGGGAGAGAGTGTGTGTGCACAAGTGGCAGAAGGGACAGAGGGAGAGGGAGAGAGAGAGAATCTCAAGCAGACTCCACCTTGAATGTGGAGCCTAATGTGACACTCCATCTCATGACCCTGAGATCATGACCTGAGCTGAAATCAGGAGCCAGATGCTTAACCACCTAAGCCACCCAGGTGCCAAGATAATATTTTAGAAATACAAAATAGCATGACAGAATGGTAATTTAGAAACACTGATATTGGATGTATTGCTAAAGTTGTAACTCCACGTTAACAGAAAATGCCATGTAACAGTCACAGGATGCAATTTATGCTTCAGTTCTTATTGGCTGTTTTCAGACATTTAATGCCTATATTGGACATATTATAAATCTTTCAATTCTATTGAATTTTTAGTTATTTGGGAATTAAAAGTAATGAAAACCCTGGTATTTTGCTGTAGATGTGGACCTAAGGAAATCTGCTTTTTTGAATCAAAAACTTTATAATGTATGTTGTCTGTCTCCACCTTGTGGGTATTGTAAAGATTACTACTTCCTAATTTTGTTCATAAGAGAGGTTGAATGGCTATGAAAAAATAGAAATCCTTGTCTACCTTTAGGTTTTTACTTTTAGATACCAGAAATACAGAAAAACTTTTCACATGACTGAAAATTTCAGATACATTATGATACCAAAGTGTTAGATCATCTAAAGCATTTCTAAATCTCTTTGCCAATGTTATTAGTAGTTCTTGCAAAAATATTACATAATTGTAGAATCCTGTATTTAAACTGGGTATATGAACAGTTCATCCAACACACTGTATATCTAAACGAACTTTCCTTTAGACTTTCATAGCACATACAGACTTTGTATGACACTCCCTAGGAAAGTCACAAACCAAAGAAGAAAGTTTTTGTAATTATTGTCTCCCTTTCCCTTAGGAAAAGTATAAGTGTCCAGTAAAATTTCTTAGGTTCCTAAATCAGAGGTTTTATTTTAAATTTTAAAGACAAACTCCTGACTTCCAATTATACATTATTTTCTTTTCTTCCCACTCCACTCAAGAACAGAGAATATTCTAGGGATCAAGACACACTGCCTTGCTTTCAGGGATTTATGTTCTGTCCAATTTTGTTTTAAAGCATGAGAAACTTTCACTAAAGTGTTTGATTCATAGATTATCTGTCAGTTCATATCTAAATTAGAGAAGGTTGTTGGATCACATCATCTGTATGAAACAATTTGAAATGATCTAATTTGAGCAAAAAAGTTCCTACCTGGTTGAATTTGCCAGCTATTCTACTAACTAAGCAAGTTTGTTACTTTTGAACTTCTTGTTTTGTTGCATGAAAAGTTAAATACTGTAAAGAGAAGTTAAAGTTCTTTGGAGTTGAAGAGACTACCTCAAAAGCCAGCCACAGGCTTTAGTCCCTCACTCAGTCACTCTGCCTACGAGAGTATAGGTTCTTGATTATCTTGTGGTTTAGATGTGAAATGCACAGTCTTTTACATGAACCCATGTTCCACAGTGTAATGTATCAAGCAAGCCACTCATTAAATGTACACTGTGCACAACACAGAGAATTGTGTATCATCTGGTTAAAATATAATTTGCCTTTAACACAGATTTCTACTAAGTGTCCTTTTTTCCCAATGATTTTGTGATCTGGTATTTCTAGCCTGTACTCTAATCGAGAAAATAAAACAAACATGGATAATTTGTCTCTTTAGAGAAAACAAAGATCATATTATTTCTGTGTCCTGCTCCTATCAAAGATTAAATACCCTTCCTAATTACAACTCAAGTTTTGATGCCCAGAACACTTATGGCATTTATGTCAACTGAAGCTAAAGACTCAAACAAACCTACTATAGATTTATGATTTTATAATAATTTTTCCTAAAACATAAAAAGACAAAAGAAAGTGCTATTTATATGCAACCAAGAGGAAATGTTTTGGGGAAACAGATTTTACACTCGGGTTTATAATTAGCCACTTTAAAATAAATGAGTTTTACTCTCTTAAAATATTCTTCAGATAAAAAAAGCCCTGAAGAAAACTGGAATTCAGGAGGGGGCAGTTAGAAAACATGAAACCACACTGATAACAACTCCATTCCAAAAGGCATTAACACTGCTCAAATATTGGATTTAGCATGTAATTTACAAGACCAATACGTTAGACTTGTGCCATAATGATGTAACAGGCCAACACTTACCTTTTTCATTGCCATTTGCATAATTTGGAGGCTTGTTTTTGTCAATGCTGTTAAAGCTCTGACTTCTCCTATTTAAATTAGAGGCTCCCTGGACCTTGCTGCTGCTGCCCGCGGTTGGCACCCTAGAGGGACCTGGAAGCCTGAAATAGTATAAGAAAAATTACATCATTTTTGTAGATCACAAAAAGATAAGGGGTAAGAGGTTCTGATGGGGGAAGCCTTAGTGGAAAAAGCACAACATACGATGTTCTAAAATCTGTTTAGCAGAAAATGGTGGTTTAAGCGATAAATAAGCTAAACACAAGAATTAAGAATCTTCAGAAAAATCTTATTTCACTTTTCAGTAAACATGCCCTCAAATGATACTAAGAATGTAGAGCGATTAGAAATAAAATAACCTTTAACTAAAAAAGTCATACTTACAACACCTCTGATGAATGGCACCTTGACTTAAAAATACTGTAACAATTACATGAAAAGCAAGGGAAATAACACAAGTGTATTGTGTTCTCGAGGTATTAATCACCTATTTGCAGTTGTTGTTAAGTTGTTCTTTTCGATGTATGGGACATTTGTTTTCCTCTTAGATAGCGGTTTCCTAATAAGTCAACTTGATAATAACAAGAAGAATAAAGTTACTGAACAAATTGCTAATAGCAAATGCTTATTGCACATCTAAGGTAGTAAGCTATTCCGATTCAAGCATGATGCAGAGACCAAAGTCACGAGTTAATCTGTATTTTACAGGTCTGCCTCAAAAAAATTTTTTTTCTTTAATCATTTTGCCAGAAATAAGCACCTAGACATTAGCTAATTATCTTACAAGTGTGGCCAGCTGATCACAAAGGTGATATGACAAGAAAAGATGCAGGTCTCAGAAGCAGAAAATCTCTGTTAACAGAATGGCAATGTAAAATACACCTACAGGGACAGTGACTTCAGCTAGTCTTTGGGGATGAAAGACAGGACAAGAGGAAATAATAGGCAGACTGTGTTAAAATTAGGGGAAGTTTGACGTTAGGTTGTGATCTGCAGTTATTCTATGCAGACCAAAATTAAGTATCAGTGTGGATCATTTCCGTCACTGTTTAAGCAGTTTCCATCTTGAAATTTCAAGTATCAATTATTCATGTATTGTGCCTACAATATACAATCACTGTATTTTACTCTACCCTGCTAACATATTATATATGTACAGTAAACAATCTGGATAAATTAAGAACTAGTAATTAAAAACAAATATTGGCAACCTAAGTCATATTTAACAACATGGTACTAAAGGATGTCAGCCTCTTTGCTAGCATTTGCTGCCACCATGTGAATGTCACTGTGTACTGCTCAGATAATTTCTATTTTAAAAGAAATGAAACTCCAGGCCTTATAAATGAAGCACAGAAATTTTTACTGTTCTCTATACTAAGTTTTTAAAATGACAGAGTGTTTATACCTGTTATATTTGTGCCTGATATATCACAATTTCAAGATCAGTTGTTACTATTTTCATATTTTAACTCACCTTCATAATTAATATATTATTTCCATAAATTATTAGGAAATCAAACTTTTAAAACTCATAGTTGTTTTTTAAAATAGTAACAGGTATTGCAACAGGGAATGAACATCAGGAAAATAAAAATACCAGCTTAAAAACAGAAGTGTTGCTTTCTTGGAATAGTTAATAGTTTCAAAATGTTGACTGTATTCTGGAGTTTAAATACATATGGCTAATAAATAGTTCCTTCAGCTGTTTTGCCAATTAGAAGCTGTGCCATGTACAAGATTGGAAACTTTTCCAAATGATTCCAGCATTTAACTTTTGCTCAGATGGATCTACAGGGTATGTAAGTATAGCACAAAACCACAGACACCAGGAATTTTGAGTACCAATGACTGCACTCTGAAAAAGGACTCAGTTAATTAATTTGGCCAAATGCCCCAATCATAATAAATCTAAGAACTATCCTTGCAGACACAGCTACAGACTTAGAAAGTTCATTCCAAACTCACATGTATAAACAAATTTTGTCACAGAACTTTCCCTGCTTGCAATGAAACTTGACCTGTTTCTAGAAAGCAATTAAAATGCATTTTAATCTTTATTGTGACCCATGAAGGCAAGTGATCTTTAGTTTTCCGAAGAACAAATTAAAACAAATTTAAAAATCCATTTGCTCTTCTCATTACCCTAATTTGACAGGCAGCCAGAGATCCAGATCATTCATCAAAGTAATAAAAAGAGAAATGAAAATGAAGCCAACAAAAGACAGAGAGAGAGAGAGAGAGAAATGTTCTATTAAATTAATGTGCTTAAAATATATTTTATATGCATGAGTCTTATAAGTGGTAATAAAAACTGTACAAGGCAGGTCACTGTTTTTTTGCACATTTGAATTTACATCATTTTTCCTACTTTAAATTAAATGCCCTTTAAATTTTTCTCTCCAGAATCATTTTAATTACTATGGAAATGAACATAACTTAGAAAACCAAGGCAAGAGAAAAAGCACATACTCACATCAAGGCATCATAAGCAGTCCTTGTGGTCAAACATTGCATAATACGATACATTATCAGAGCAGTGATTAGGAAGCCACCAGTGAGGGAGATGTCACGTATAATCACATAATAATCAAGGGTGCAAAACACATTTGCTGTGGCTTCACTCAGCTGTACGATCATGCCTTCGGCAACTTAACATTTTTTTTAATAAATCATACACTTTCAATATACATTTATCTATCAGTATTTTCCAAACATCATACAGTACATCATACAGTCATTTCCTATAACAGACTGTCTTTAAAATTTGTATGTCATAAAGAAGCAAAACTTTATACTATTATACGTAAAGGAACAATCCAGGTTAACTTGGTGACCTGGTGCTAACCTTCCCACAAAAAACTGTCAGTATTTCTCAATTCTGCCTCAAAATATGCAGAAATTAATGTATGTCCATCTCCAAAAACAATTACATTCTTGTCGTGTAACTTCCAGACTCTGTAACCTGGAAGGAATGGGGCCTTCAAAGTCATCTTTTCCTTGACTTTCTCTAAGCCTAGAAGCTAGACTTCAGCCCAGTCATAACAGTATATATAACAAAACTAAAACAGAAGAAGTCAGAACCCATTTAATGATCTAATACAGACATGCTCATCCCGGAGAAATGCATATGGAAATCCACTTGGAAGAATTCAGTCTTCTAAACTTTTCATCCAGAAGTATGTAATTTATGAAAAAAATTTAGTATGATAGGACAAAATATCACTGGGCAGTTACTTTATCATCACTAACAAGCAATAAATTAGAGATATTAACTGACCTAGTAGGCTTTTTTTGACTGGTTGCAATTCCACTGTGATTAGACTGAGTTGCATATCTGGCTGCCAGACTGTATGAGGAGAAACAGAGAAATTGAATTAAAGAGATTCTTTGAACATGGAAAGAAAGCACAACATTACAAGAAAACTATGAGTTAATGAAATGCGATCGGCACATGTATAAGCATGTATAAAGGATAAATTAATTAGAAAATTGTGATAATGCAACATATATACTGTGACCTTTGATTAATGAACACACTATGAAACAATGCAGGGCACCCCTTGGAATTAGGTGTGTCATCAGTGACTTTAAAATTATGGCCATGTGATAGTGTTCATATTATTTTGAGTAGTATTTCATTTCATAAAGAAATTCAACCTTTGTAAATGACTGGAAAAATTTCAGGAAAGCTGAAGTTTGACCTTACATAATACAACGAGCTCTTTCTCAAAGAGGTTAAAATGAACAGAAAGAGTATGAGAGTCATTATTTTCTTTAGTAAACTCTTCAAATTTGCTGCTTTCACTTGAATATTATTTCCAAAACCAAATGACTAAAATATGTAGTTTCTGACAAATGTATTGTTTGATCTCAAGTCCTAGATAGAAAGTTTTAAGGAAGCGAACAAAACAAGATGGTTTTCTAAAGAAAGAACTATGTAAAAGTTAAATGGAATAAATTGGAGTCAAATTCTCCAACTGAACAACTGAACAACTATTAATGACAGTTTCTGGGCATTCTTGAGTTGTAGTTCTTAATAATTTTTAAATCAAAATCGTTGATCAAAGACACAAAAGAAAGCATTATTTAAACCGAGTTCTGAAGAACAGTGAATATTTTACAAACAAAACTGAAATTTTGCACTTAAACTAATTCCTGAATTACCTGAGTGTTCTGAAATTAGTGTTTTGAAGGATACAGTGAGACCCAATTAGATCTGAAACATGTTCACATATCCTGCAATTGGTCATGGATTGATGCCTGAGTGGAGAATCACTTTTCAGGTGAATTGTGAGGGAGCACGAAGGCCCTTAAAAACAGCCCGGACAGAAAAGAATATATCCTCATAGCTAGGAAGCTTTTCAGAACAGTTATTTTTCCACATTCGATATATATTATTTATTTGCATATAATAAATTCTGTATCCTAACTACATTGGGCACTGAGAAAATTCTCCCAACTGCTTCAGTTAACAATGATACCAGAGAATAATGTAAAAATAAAAACCAAAGTGTCTGAATGAAATGAGATTATTAATTTAAAATCTAAATTTCAAATACAAGCACCCAAAGTGAAGAAATATTTATTGTGTGTGAACTTCTCAGTCTATTTTGTCAATCCAGAGAAAGAGCTACCTCAAGGTTCACTACTATGTCTTACCCTGTGTTCTACAAATTGAACACAAATATTGGCTGGAGAAATGACAATGAAACAATGTACTTTCCTTCAGGGAATGGAAGCCATCTCATAGCATTTTCTTGCATGATTTTAAGGAAGTTCAATAATTTCCAGGATATAAGTGGGGTAGGGGAAGAAAATCTAGAAAGGTCAACTGACTTGCTAAAATCAGTTTGGTTTTATGGCCCACATGTGTTTTCTAATTTATTATGAGAGAACAATATTCTACACATTGCCTAGATTTTTGTACCAAATTCTCATAACTTAATCCTTTGAAACTTGGCTTCTGTTCTGCTTCCCTTGCACTAGTGAAACTGTTGTATGAAGAACACAGGACTTTAATTAATTCCACCAGACTTCAACATCTTTTATCTGACCCATATTGCTCCCTCTGCCTTTGTGAATCTCTCTCTTTCATAGATGGTAATACCAGTGAGCTCACTTGATTTGCCCACCATCATTCTCATTCATTTTCTCTTTCCTTCACTGAGTCCTTTTCCTTTATTGAGCTCTTTAAGGCATGATTTTTCATAGGTCCTCTTTCCTCAAACACTTGTATGCGTTCTTTCGCTTAGCAATTCATTTTTTACCTCAGACTTTAAGTAAAATCTGCTATAAACAAGTGTTAATATGTGAGTCACACTCCCAACTGCCAATATCAACTGAGGAAAAGATGTCCATTTCTATGATTTTCAGAGTCACCACTTTAAACACCATTTTCCTTCTTTTAACCCCCTAGTCTTAATCGGATCCTTCCTCTAATTTCTTGATTTCTATTCACAGGATCATCATTTTTTTTTAGTCCAATGGGCTTGAAACCTCAGTAGTTGACTCTTCTCTTTTTCCTTTTAATCATTGTCAGTAGGCTGTCACTCTGATTCAACTTCTACAAATCCATTTACATTTATGTCCTCTTCCAATTTCCTTGTTTATTGCACTAAATCAAGCCCGCAACACTTCCCACAATGCCTCTGGGTCCTTTTGTTTTTCTTAATCTTCTACCTGGCTCTGTCTCCACACTCAGTAGAAAACCACTATTTTTCCCCCATAGTTGCTTGCAATACTATATCCCACATTTCAGACTTACAGTCTAGTCACAGAGTAGGTGAGGTGGTACAGCTCATGCAATTTATTGGTAAACCAGACACAAGAAACATGTAGACACAGCTCTGAGGCAAGACAGGGAAGATAAATAGAATCAGAACGCTAATAAACTAGGAAATACCAAAATATCTGGATTGAGGATAGCGTATTTTTTCCCTGGAAAGATTGCCAAGTGAGACTCCTTCTAGCTAACGGGTGGTAAAAATATCAGAAACAGAAGCACAAAAGAAATGCATATTTTGAGATTTCTTGTGGGTTCTATCAAAAAGTATCTGCTCGGGGCACCTGGGTGGCTCAGTGGGTTAAGCCTCTGCCTTTAGCTCAGGTCATGATCTCAGGGTCCTGGGATCGAGCCGCGAATCGGGCTCTCTGCTCAGCAGAGAGCCTGCTTCCTCCTCTCTTTCTGCCTGCCCCTCTGCCTACTTCTGATCTCTCTCTCTCTGTGTCAAATAAATAAATAAAATATTTAAAAAAAAAGTATCTGCTCATCTGATAAAGTAAAATATTAAGAGAGTGCTTTTTTACTTCCCTAAAATGGAACACAAGAAAGGAGACTAGAGACAGTCAAATGAATTTTTAAAAATGAAAACTCATCTGGTGCTCAATACAAAGAAAGATCCAAACTACCAGAACTTTCTAATCTACCTTTATCACAAACTCCCATGTGGAACTATAATATCCACTTATTATAAGGAAAGAAAAACTTCTCAATGTAAACATATCCTGAATTTTAACTTACACATTTTTACCAATTGCCAGAACCTTGCTATTCAAAGTGTTATCCAAAGACCAACGAAACTGGTATCACCTGGAACTTTTTAGAAGTACTGGATCTCGGGGCGCCTGGGTGGCTCAGTGGGTTAAGCCTCTGCCTTCGGCTCAGGTCATGATCTCAGGGTCCTGGGATCGAGTCCTGCATCAGGCTCTCTGCTCAGCGGAGAGCCTGCTTCCTCCTCTCTCTCTCTCTGCCTGCCTCTCTGCCTACTTGTGATCTCTCTCTGTGAAATAAATAAATAAAATCTTTAAAAAATAAAAAATAAGTTAAAAAAAAAGAAGTACTGGATCTCAGGTCTCATCCCAGAGTCTCTGCATTTTAACAGGATTCTGATGCATAATAGAATTGAAAAAGCTGTGCTCTACAGAATACCCACAAATATCCAACCTTGGAGATAAAACTTTGGAGGAATAAACTTTGTAGTTTCTAAAGTGAAACAGCATAATCTAAACATCTCGGGAGTCATGCTTCATCATCTATGCTCTAGGGGCTTTGGATACTATTGATATCATCCTTTTAGAAATCCTTATCTCACTTAGCTTTTCTAATGCAACAGCTACCTCTGCAGCTACTCCTACTTCCCAAATAACTGTTGACTCACTCCCACCCCCCCTTAATTGTTGTACTGTTACCATGAGTATTTTCAAAATTGTAATCCTAGGCAACAGCTGATCTACCCCTCTATTCTTTCTATCTCAGATCTACATTCTATACTCAAATCTCAATCCTAAACTCAATCTCTTTCTTAAATATCACCTTGAGATCCCTAAATATTATACCCAGATCACCTAGATTTCTCCCAGATATTCCAAAAATGTTCAAAACAACTCATTTTCCTTCTTTCAAATCATCCTCTCTCCAACTTTGCTATGTAACTTGACTGTCACCATTTTCTACACTGAACAATATGGAGTTGTCTTGATCATTACCTACTGTTTTTCTTCATCTGTGTCATCTCTCTTATAGACTCTAATAATACATCTTCACTGGTCTCACTGTTTTCAGTCCATTTTTATTCCCAGACAAATCAAATCATTCCTCTCATCAACAGAATGAACTTTCCCAAGGAAGAATGAATGCCAACTGCTTTCTTTGAAATTGCTGTTGACGGCCGTTGTCCACAAGATAAAATCCAAGCCCTGTGATTTGGTTTACAATATTTCAGTACGTCCCCTCAGACTCTTACAGCCTCATCCACTCAGCGTATTTCCACCCCATGTTCTCCACTGTCACCACATCTCTGCTCCTTGCCTATGGCCTCTGTTCCTGTGGGTCCATGGCTTTTCTCATGAGGTTTCCTTCATCTGAAATGCCAGTCCTTCCCTTCCCTGCATTATAAAATCCTACTGCTAGTTCAAAATCCTGCTCAAATCTCGCCTTCTTGTTGAAGCATTTCTCAAGTTTCCCATAGTTAATTTTGTCCTCTCCTGGTCCACAAATCTTAATTCTCCTCTAATTATTAGGTTAATGTAGGAATTTATCATGGTAAATATCTGCGTCCTGAGAAGATTGTTTTATTTACAAGGACAGGAATTATGTTATGTCCACTTTGCATTCTTAGCTCCTTTCATGGGTTTATAATGTGTTCAGTAACTAAATAATTGATTTGTATTTACTAACTAGTATTATCAAACAATGATTTATTATATCTCCAACTTTTAAGCAAGGGGGACTGTTTTAAGAAAGAGTTTAACAGAAGTATATTAAAGGAGGAAAAAAAATTCATCTTCATTGTGTCTTTATTAAGTGATCTGCAGTTTATTTATTTTCTCATTTATTCCTTATAATAG